TCTGTGTGGATGTGTGCATGCATGTGTGCAAGTGTGCTCACTCTTGTGTGTGCTTGTGTGAAAGCCAGAAGTTAATGCTGGGTGTTGGAAAGCATTGTCCCCCTTAATATTTTGATAGAGAGTCAGTCCCCTGTTGAACCCAGAGCTTCCCATCATGGGTAGATCAGCACATCTCCAGACTGCCTAGGTTTTGCTGATTCTAACTTCCCGTCCTTCCCACCACATCACCAAGCACCCATTTTTGTGATTTTCATCCTTTTCATCTTTCCTTCTGTACCACTTCCATCTCTGCCACCACTCCTGACTCTCCTCACCACTACACCTTTCTCTCCTTCAGATGGACTTGGATTCTTTTTTTAAAGAACATTATCTTCTTTTGTTTCATTTTGGTTTTTGAGACACAGAGTTTCTATGTGGAACCCTGGCTGTCCCAGAACTCACTCCGTTGACCAGGGTGGCCTTGAACTCAGAGATCCACCTGCTTCTGCCTCCAGAATACTTCACTTAAAGATGTGAGACACCACGGCCCAGGCTGATTTTTTTTTCACAACACAAAGGCATTGAAAGTATAATTAACACAGGGCCATATTCCAGTTCAGAAACCTCCAAAGGTTCAAGAAACCAAATAGACAAAAACAAATAGTGAGACAAACTACACAAACATTTTTTTATCATAACCATGAATGGGAGTAAGTAAATGCTACAGATCCCAGAGACATTAAGAGCAAGATATGTGTGGGTTAACACAAGTAACATTAGTAAAGAATGACTTTGGATTCATCATTTGTACACTTCTTTTTACAATTAGTCTGCTTTCAGCTATAACTTAAATATTTACAATAAGTATGGACTGTGAAAAGACCTTAAGGTCTTAATTAGCTCCTGGACAGATGGAGTTCCCCAGCAGGTTGTCTGAATCTCTGTGCCAGATACAGTAATTCTCTGCAACTCCCCAAAGGGGGAGCATCCTCTTTCCCTGTGCACTGTGGGACAGTTTCTATCCAGGCATCCTTACCTTTGTGGTCCACAGTTTGACAGTCCAGTCAAATGAGGAGGTGACAAAGAGATGAGAAAAGTCGATGGGGCCCACTGCCATATGGCAGTTAATTCCCGTCACTGGTCCTTGGTGACCTTCAAAGACCTCACCAATGCCTGCTTTGCTGCAGAGAGCAAGAACAGCATTTCAGTGATCTTTGCAAAGCAAAGATTGACCATCTCCATTAGAACAACCATACACGTCAAATGAATAAAAACTGAGCAGATAATAATTAGGAATATACACATTTATACATGCCTGCATATAATCACAAGTAATAACAATAGAGGCCACAAATTTGAAGGAGAGCAAGAGGAAGTATATTTAAAGTTTAAGAAGGAGAAATGATGTAATAAAATTATGATCTCAAGAATAAAATGGAAAAAATGATTAAACAAAAAATGATCCTATGTGATCAAGAATAAAACCATTTTCAGAGCAAATTTGACAGGGAAAACATTGATGGTTAAGAAATCTTAAGAATTTAATAAGAAAAATATTTATTTTTCTATTTCCAGTGGCCTTACAGATTTTGTTATTTTGGGGATGCTGTTGTGGTGAAACAAATGCACTTGAATCTCAAGAGTTTTCTTAGTTTTGATGCAACAACCCCTGAGATGCTCAAGCCCCATTTGAGTGTCCTCTGAGGACTTTATTGGCTATAAAATTCAATAACTCTTTGAATGAATAGTTGTTTATTCTTCCAAGAAAACTGCTTAAATTGACACATCTGAAAAATGTAACATATGATGAAAACTGTAGGTGCTTCAAAATAATGCACATGGTATCAATATAATACAGAAAAGCGATCTTTTCATTCCATTGGAAACTGAAGCCAGATTAGGGATTTAATTTTGTAAATTCCATAAGGAGAGCTATCTTACATTTCTTGTTGCAAAGTATCTAATATACAACAAATACTCTTTATAAATGTTTGTTGAATTAAATCACAAAGGAAAAGAGAAAACTTAAAAAAGTACACTTGAGAAAAAAGGATGCACATTTTACAAGTCTTCCTCCGGCATGGATTAATTAACTGAGCTGGGATTATTTCCAGGCTTCTCTTATTACCTAATAGCCTACATGCAGTCATACACAATTAGGCAATGCTTAGAAAATATACCCACAATACTATATTTAAAAGATTCATATGCACGAGGCTATAAGTATGACAAACATGTAGGGATTGTGGAATCTCAATATTATGTCAAGTAAAAGCAAAAATGAATTCAGTTAGTAAAACATTTGGGCCCTGAGCACCAATAAGTGTCAATGTGCTTAGTACAATTTGGAATCATGAGCAAAGCATTGCTGAGTGTCTTCCGTGTAATAAGCACTCAGCCATTATGCTCAGTAAAACTGCTAACAGCGCTTCCAACACAGGCTCAGCAAAATGTGCCCTGGTGAGCAGGAGCAGCGGATCTGAGCAGTGGCCCCTGGTGGGGCGCCACTTGTTCTTAGCAGCATCCTGAGAGGAATTACAGGGTGCAAAGCAAGGACCTCGTTTAATTTGTGGAATTGGATTTGCACTTTTCATTAGGTGAAAACTAGAAACCTCCCACCTCTTCCCTGTAGCCCTAAATGACTCGAGTAACATTATTACAGAGCCAGCGCTTGCTACTTTATGACCTTACCAAAATTTGCATTTTATAGTTTGGATGGATGGACCAATGTCAAAAGCAAAATCAAATGTTTAGTAAAGACATTTGTGGTGTGAGGCAGAGGCACATTCTTTTGAACAACAATGCATACTCTGGGCCTGTTTGCAACAGCCACAGAATAAAACACCCATCATTTAGAAGGTGACTCACAAGAAATCTGGAAGAAAATCAGAATGTACACTCCAGATCATAAACACCCTGAGTATACACACCCAGGCTGTAGCTGAATCGGGTTAACGGAAAGGCTGTCTTGTTGATTCGAGCGCACACAGAGATGGAACTGTGGCCACGGGTTTGACTCATTAGATCTGTGTGTCACACACCAATTATGGTATCTTTGTGGGTGCTGGGTATGTTTATGCACTTGACAGGCTCACTGACAAGAACTAGGTTTATTCGGACCGTGGTGGCGCACACCTTTAATCCCAGCACTTGGGAGGCAGAGGGAGGCAGATCTCTGAGTTTGAGTCCAGCCTGGTCTACGGACGAGTTCCGGAATAGCCAGGACTGTTATATAAAGAAACACTGTCTCGAACCCGACTGCCTCAAAAGAACCAGGTTTACACAGTACTGGTCTACGTAGAGCATTCGGCAATACACTCTGTTCAGAGGAGGAGAGCACAAATGTTTGAGCAAACGAATAAACTGATCCTATCTTTTTGTGTTTGGTGTGTGGGTTTAGTCCGGTTTTGTTGTTATAGAGATGCTGGACATAGACTTGTGAGGCCTAACTTCCCCAGTCATCTTTAAATCCTACGAGCAGGGCAAACACTGCTTCTTCTGCCACAGAAACAGTGGTAATATCACAGCTTGTGTTACTAGAGTGGAAAAACTCATGTGGCTGAGCTTAAACAATTGGTTATTCCTTATTAAGTCTAAATGGCCTGGGATGGGAGCAAGAGATGAAAAATCCATTGGCCAAGAACTAGGAAAGGGAAAGAGAAGGTAAGCATCAATGTGAATGTAGGGATCCTTTCAAAAGATATGAGGCCACCTGTTAGCGGCCGAGTGGCGGGAATCCACTTTGCTATGGCTGACTTCAGAGGCATCTGCCAGTGTCTCCTGGGAGCTACTGCACAGTTCTGTGTATATTTCAGTTTCAACATTTCTGACTTGGAGGGAGGATCTTTTTTTTTTTTCTCTTTTGCAGAAAGGGTTTCTCTGTATAGTCCTGGTCCTGGCTATCCTGGAACTTGCACTGTAGACCAGGCTGGCCTTGAACCCAAAAAGATCCTCCTGCCTCTGCCTCCAGAATTCTGGGATTAAAGGCGTGCACCACCACCACCCGGCACCACTACCAGGAGGGTCTTAAGGTACTTTCTTCATTATTTAAGTACTGTCATTTCTTTATTTCTTATTTAAATTTTCAGTCCTTTACCTACTAACTATATGCCAGGGTCTAGGGCAGGACATCAAAGATGAAATGGAAACAGTTTAACAAGAGAAATATGGTAGAATAATGACTGATGAATGACTGATTGAAGCAGAATGTGATGGATTCTATAGCAGTTGTTTGCAGAAGAAGATATAAAGAAACCGGCATGACTGACTAAGGTTCTTTCCTGCTTATCCAACTTCAGTTGCCTTGGTGACTCTTCAGAAACTATTTAATTTTGCATCAGTCTTTACTCTCAACAAGGACACAGGTACCTTGCACTTAGTATATTGTTACGATGGCATCTGATGCTAGACCAAGAAGAAAACAAAGGAACTGACTCATGAAAGTACACAGGGATAGGCAATGTTTGGGGGTAGTTAATCTCTGAGGGGCACATGGTGGGAGCCTGATGGTGTGTGTGAAAAATGAGTCTGGCAAGGAACAGGGAGTATGATAGGCTCTGTGAGGAAGTCAAACATTTTCTTCAAGGCAACGAGAAGTGCCCAAATGTTTGTAAGTTACCAGGGCCTCACACAGATGTGTGCTTTAAACTAATAGATTTAAGATTGCGGTGCATTGTATTTCTTGAGGAATAACTATCTTACAAAGCAAGGTGGTTATAATCTAGACGGCAAGAGTTTGGAAAATGAAGACCATGTCATCAGAAAGAAAACAGAAAAATCACCTTCCATGACGACAAGCTGTGTAGACGGTACCTTCCTCACTGCCAACCACGAAGTTGTTGACGTCTCCTGTCGGGAAAGCCATTCCCGTAACGGCGACAGGCTTGGACTTATTGTACACCAGCTCCATGCTCTCCTACCAAAACATGGTGTGGTTACATTTCCATCTGTCAACTCCTCGCCATGCCAAAGATAGCATGGAAAAATCATTTGGCTAAATCGTCTGTTTGCTTTTCACACAGCGCTACAAAAGACCCCCACTGTGCTAGAAGCCAGGCTCTACTGCCCCTGATATCCAGGCTGCTCTGTGTCTCTGGTTTCAGGCCGGCTGGATTTCATCAGCATGTGCCACTGCTTCCCCAGCCAGGCAGAGATGACAGGTGAGAATTTTGAAACTAATGGTGCAGAAACTAAAGATAATACTATAATGATTATACTTGTCAGCTCCAGGCTTTAATAAAACACACAATACCCTTGTATTTACAAACATTTTCAAAATCAATTGTTCATGAGAATACACGTGTCTTAATATCAGATGTACTAAACACATTTGTCACGAAGGGACTGTGGGTCCTCCATGAGTTGAGACCAGGAAATTGTCACTCAGGTCATAAAAAGCAGAAATCAACAGGAAGTAGACCCCATGAACGGTAGCTGTCAGGTGTACAGGCTCTGAACTCACAAAGAAAGGTATTTAAATAACTGCTTCAGATAGCACACATGTTTTTATTGTGGTGAAACTGTCTGTTAAATTTAGAGAGTATGTCAAAAGACATACATAGTTCTGGGGCCAAAGAGATGACTCACTGGTTAAGAGCACTGAATGTTCTTCCTAAGGACCTGGGTTCCATTCCCAACAACTGTGTGGGGCACTCCAACTCAAGGAGCTCTGATCCTCTGATCCTCTGACCTCCGTGGCACCACCCCCCCACGGAATACACTCACACAGACACACATGACTTAAAACAAGTGTCTAAAAATATATTCTGTTACATTAAGTTTAACGGCAATGAAAGGTAATATCAACAATGCCCCTCATTATTCCTGGCTATTATATCAAGCAGCCTATTTTGGGTATCTGAAGCTTGGCACAAACTTGTTGGTGGAGTTGTACCAGAACTCAGATTTTCCTGTGCAAGCCAACCAAGCTATTTTGGCCACAGAGTTCATCGATTGGAAGTCCATGAACTGGAAATCCTTGCCGTCAGGGTATAGCACAGCAACCCTGAGACCCCATGTAGTACTGAGCACTCATGACACCCCCACATTGAGAGCATTGCAGCAGGGTGACTAAAGGGGAGAGTGCCTTGACAGTAGCATAGAAAATAGGAACATCCGATGGTCTGCCCCATCTCTAAAGTCAGTGGTAAGGAAGGAAATGAATGGTGATCACTCACTGGGGTGGGGGTGGCAGGGGGAGAGGGGCAGACAACTGTGGGATGCTCCACTTATCCCTGCCCTCTATGGGGACAAGACTAAGAAATACTCCATCTCCATGTAGAGTCGGGCATCTGTGGGCATGATAACAATAATTAAAAAGTGGGCTCTGGGCTCCTGCATCACTGACTTAACCTAAACAAACACGTGTTTAATCAGCAAAATTGGCAATTAAAAATTCTCAAATAGAGGGTTTGCTCTGATATCTGTTTATAATCTCCAGGCTTTTAAAAGAAAGCAACACATTGCTGAGAATTTTAATGCAAAACCATAAACTATCCGCACACAACTGCGGGCCTGTATAAAGATCAGCAAAACCAGGAAGCTGAATTGTGACCTGTTTATTAGCGCTCTCTCCCCCGCCCCTAAAGTTATGTGAAAAACTTAGCTTTAGTGTTCTCTACATCTGCAGATACTTAGATGGAGTCTTTACAATTCCCACATGTCCTTATATATTTGAAACTAGTCCTCTTCAAAAACTGACTGGGAGACATTGTAGAGCTATCATTCTAGGGGAGGGGACAAGAATTGTGAGTCTGGGGGTTATTTTCTGGATATTTATCATATATTTGCCAGAGACTATTCCAATGAACTTTCCATGGTTTTCAGTTGGGGGAGAATGTTACATTTTTTTTCACACAGAGACATGTGGAAAGCATGAGCATGTCTGCATTCATGCTTGCGCACATGTGCACGTCACATGTGTATGCAATGAAAGTGGCCCTCAGACGCCCGCCTCCAGCATTCTTCTTTACTCCAGGCTTTTGTTTGGTTTCTGTTGCTGTGATCAGTAGTGGTTTGGAAACACTGGAACCTTTTCATTTTCAACTTCTCACTTATTGAGCAAGGAATGGCAGGAGCCATGTTCACAAACATTCCAGAGAGGGAAACAGGCGGTTGTCTAGGGCGCAGGAGCAAGCAACAGCTTGGGTTTCTGTTTTGCTGGGATACTTTTCCTTTAGGCCAATTTCCCAGAAGGTGTTGCTCTGCTGAGCTCCAACCTTATTTGCATTGCTTCCCAATGCTCTAGGGTGAGTACAATCCACACTACAGGCAACTTCTATAATCACTGCGTTTTTAAAATGGGTTACTTCATTTTCATTTGAAACTGACCTAAGGATTAGCGTATTACAATAATTACATAATTTGTGGTAGAGGAAATCGGTCTTGGCCTCAAGGACAGACTGCAGAAACCAGGCCTCCGGGCCTGTAGGATGCATGTTCCTAAGGAGGCAGGTCTTTGAGCCGACATGCTGTAATGTGTAGGTGAAAACAGACACACCTGAGGAGTTGAAAGCATATCCAGGCTCCAGGAACACATCTTTCCATCCGTAGAGACAGTGATGAGGTTGTGAGCATTCTGAGTCCCAACAACATTGACACAGTACACAGGATGCTGTAAAAACATCAACATGGAGGATCAGGTGTTGCTGCAAGGGGAAACGATTGCATCTGAGTGTCAAGCACATTATTATGACAAGGATACAGAGTGACATCATCTAGCTAGCATAGGACCTTCCAGTTATTTGCCATTTGTGAGCCCAATTTTGTAGAAGTTCTGCAGTGGAAATACTTACAAAGCGTCACCTTGCGGAGTTTGATGCAATGCAATAGAACTGAAGGGAATGAGAAAAAAATGAGTGTTGCTGGGGCAGGAGCAGGCATGGAGGGGAGTTTGGGTTACATGAGTACGTCTACTACACAGCATGGCTTCTAAACTCAATGTGAATATGAAAAGGGACAGCCTTCAAAGGTATAGAACTGTAGTCTGGGAAGGACTGCGCTACTAGATCTGGAGTTTAATGCATTCTAACATTCTAGCCAGTGCCAAACATTTGGTAGCATTGTCTTTAAAAAGTGGTGACTACTCACTAGTTTAATTTGAGGAGGGGTAGATTGGTGGCAGACTTACTGTAACAATATACTTAGTGAGATAGAATTAGGGTTTTCTTGTCGGTTATTTCAAAGCCTGAGATGAGAGGTTTACTTTTCAGAACATGAGTTGGAGTTGTATAGAGGTTTAAATTTGGCCTCAACCTTGACAAAGTTCATATATACATCCTGGGAACTAAGTAAGATGCACTGGCATCTGTCAGAACTCTAGAAGCTTAGCTCATTCTATAGACTTCTACACAGTAGGCTAAAACCATTTGCAGCTGCTCACAAAACACTAAATGGAAGGTTAGAAAAAGCAGAACCTAGCAGCAATTTGGGTTAGATTTCAGGCATCTCAACCATGAGTGGCCAAACCACAACTTACTCAATGCATCTCTGAACAAACAGCTGACAGTTGAAGCTAGACTTTTGATGAGTTAGTGTCCATAATACCTAGCCACAACTACAATGAAACAATCTTCAATACTTGGAAGCTGGTATTACAGAAAGGGTGGTTCTGAGACTATTATTATCATATAAACTCCTGGTCAGAAAGAACAGCAATAATCATTGAGTGTAGCTACTTGGCTGCCTCTTTCTAGAAGTCATCCAAACTGGGTTGCAACACCTTTCTTACAGGGCGGTCAGTGTGAGCATTAACTGCTGAGATTTTTCCTTCAGTAGTTGTGATTTAAAAAAAAAACCTATGGAGCTACTCTCAGTGCATCGAGTAAAAACAACACAACTTTTTGAACATTTTTAGATTATTCTTTTATACCCTCCCCAACTTTTAATTCCCAAATCTTGCTTTAGGCTAGTCATCACTAATTCCTTCCAATCTTTCTTGGCTACCTAGTTCTCAACATTTTCTTCATTTCAATCATTTTCTGTTGAATGTACCATCTTTTATCAGAGTTCCCTAAGGGTAAAGTTCTGGGAATAATGCAGGACTATCTACCTACATTTTGACCTCATAATGCTGAAATATCTATAGCAATGATTTGTCACTTTTAATACATTGAGGTATAAGCCACTTTATTGCATTGCTAGAGTATACATTTCTGACTGTTCTATCGTCTTCTACCCATGTTGATGGAGTGGTAGTAAGTTCCAATGTCTTTTTCACGCCATGATCCTACTGACACCTTCCCATGTATCAGCATTAGTAGATCCCCCCAATGGTTAAGTACAGCTGATATTTGATATCCACACATTCGTAAGTACAGCAGATATTTGAAACTAAATGGAATCTTGATCAGGTCTCTAAATACCAGAAGGATTGGCTGGGGTTGGACTGTAGCCAACAGTCTTTTTCAGGTCTTTGGTATTTTGGAACTCAAAGCACTGTGTCCTCAAACTTAAGTCATGAACTATGTAGATTTAGTAAAACTGATGAATATGTGTGAATTAATATATTCAGAAAGCTGGTGTTGTGACTTTATGGGATTGATCTGGGAAGGCACTGCACTGAATTCAGTTTTTAAAAAAAATCTCTTTCGTAGAATGCATGGTACATAGCTGTGAACTTGAAGACTACCTAATTTTTTTTTGCAAGAGTTGACTGGAACTTTGTTACTAACCACTGAGACTCAACACAGAAGCCTCAAAAGGAGGGAGAAGATACGGGTCAAAATACCCAAAGGACCATGCAAGCGCATCTCTACTTAATGGAAAGAAACCAACAAAAAGGCAACAGTACAGATCATTTTCCCCAATAGAAATGCCAGCTTGTTTTTATTTATTTTAGGAATAAACATGCTGTGTGGCAGAAGGATTTTGTTTTAATTATGATTTCCTGTTGCCCCAAATACATATGTGTGGTGGGTGTGAAAGGAAATTAACAAGCTCTCTGTGGAGAGACTTTTTTTGTTTGTTTGATCCTGGCACCAATCAGCAAGGCAATGATTGAAGCTGAAAGACAAACACAAAATAAACTGTACACATTGAGCTACGGATTAGACAAAACACAGCAAGAGAGAGAAGAAATGTATTTGTGTTTTATTTTCTAACAGAAACAATGCCACTCAGCTTGATAGCAACAACACTGAGTTGTGATGGCCACATTGTTCATTACTTGGAGAAGAAATGGTAAGTCTTCCAAAGAACTCCAGAGTTGGAATACTCCTAAAAGCTTTTTGCTAAATCTTGAAACAGTTGCGTTTCTAATTTTTGAAAAATTGGAAGCTTGTTCACAAATGCACCAGGCATCCACAGAGAGCCAAGGAATGGTTTTGTGCTATTCAAGGGGACACCTGCACTGGGCTGCTCTTCTCTTCAGCCACAATTTTCTGTTATTAGTTTGGAGAAATAGGGTAGGCGAGATCAATTTCCCAAGATTCCCAAGAACCATTTTTACCTGCAAGGATCTTTGGCCCCAATCAATCAAAATTAGGACTGGCTTGGCATTTGCCATTTCCCATTGTCAAACTGAAGAAGAATGGGAGAATTCCCCTCCTTCTTGTCTCAGTGAAGCGGCAAGCCACCCATTTTCGAAGCTGGAATGGTTTTGTGGACAGGGGATGAAACAATGCAGCAAGCACATTAAGGAAATTGGAAACAATGCTGGGGCTGTATCCTTGGTCATAATTCTGGCATTTGAGAGAGGGAACATCAGCTACCCTGAATGTCAAGGTAGTGGCGATTGATGGAGACATGCCTGTCTTCTTGTCCCTCCTAACAATTGCTCTTCACACCTGTCATTCTCTTAAAGGAAATGACAGAGCAGTTGTCTTGTGAACACTATGCTGAACCTCTTCTACTAAATTATGGGTAATGGTTTTGAGATGTTGACTTTTAACTCTGGGGATTATACTGTCACTGTAGACTTCATGTTGAGACACTACACATTCCAGAATTTAAAGTCATAGTACTTCAAATTACAAATGGGAAAGGCGTGTTGGCAAATGTCCCATATACCATCACTAGGGATGGTACTTGCTCTCTGTGGTCTGTTTGGAAATATGTTTGCATCTCAAAATACCAATGTGAAGAGGTTCTTTAGGTAGACAATTACAGTAAACCTTCACTGGGTGGCTTCTGAACATCAAAGGAGATCTTTCTATGTGCTAGAACTTGAAGATTATTAATACATTTCTAAAAAGTTAGTGTGCTTTCTTAAGTGGCTCTGGCTTGCCTGGAGCTCAATATGTAGACCAGGCTGGTCCAGGTCTCCTAGAGATCCATCTGCCTGTTCCTCCCACATACAAATCAATGCTTCTTTAGTCCACTGATTTTTGGAGACAGGTTCTTTATTTGTAGCGCAGGATGCCCTCAAAGTAGGAATTCTTCTGCCTTAGCCTCTAGGGTACTAGGTTAGAAGCATACAGCATCACACTTTATCTGCTATTCACTAAGCCATATTGTAGTCAGTTAGGATGCAGTCCCTATAAATGAGTCACACTGTTGTCCTGTGAGCTGCTTCCTCTCTCGGGGGTTGGGTTGGTATCAAGGGTATGGTAAAAGACTGACTTACTGTATGTGCAGCAGCTGACAAGGGGGTCCGCTGGACAGGGGTCCTTCGATGACTGCGATTGTCCCAGAGGACAATCTGGCCTGAATAGGTGCCACCAACCACCAGATTAGGATGAAAACGGGCAAAGCAGACTGACATCACTGAGGACTGTGCAGGAGGAAAGAAACATGGAGAATTGTCATCCGCTTTCTTCCTGGATAGAAAACAGCTCATTAGACAAGTTCACCCTCTCCCCCTCCCCCAAAGAGGACATAAAACAATGTTAATCTGACTTGTGAAATACATTTTATACACTAACACAGGATATTTTATAGAGGTAAGCCAAGGGCTTACCCCCTTGAAATCTGAAATTTGAAGTCTTGCCTATGTTGTCAAATAGGCATAAAACCTATCTTAAATACATCATTGTTTTGTGGTCGATGAAGTTTGCATTGTAGACATTTTCCATCTCTTGAGTAAAATTGTGACAGGAACACTATTAATTCCCGACTGGCACCCCAACCAATAGTTCTTTATGCTGAATGCAGTACAGAGGTAAAGTGATTCCAGCTTCAAGAATTTTAACATGTGTGTTTTTTCACTTTTTGCTTGTTTTTTTTTTGGCATAATATAGACTTCTAGGAAGTATCCTAACCTTGGAAGGATCCAACTTGCTCCTCCTAAAGTTCCCTCACCTCTCAGGGGCATTCTCTGTGACCTTCTCCTGCCCACTTCAAACAACTCTTAATGTTATCCTTTGCCTATTTTAACAAGCAGTCAGAAATGGACCTCAATCCAACTTGACCATGCCCTGTCATAATGTCACAGTGTGGCTTCTGAAATCCCACGAAAGACTACTTGGCACTGCAGCCCATGCGAAACAACTTAGTAGAGGCACTGGAAGCCAGACAACTCCCACATCTGCTGCATTCCTGTTGAATCCTGAAGCACACTTCCCATATTGCATTTATAAGCCAAAGTAGTGTTTTCAATAGACACATATCATCCCTTCAATTAAACTCAATGAACAGTTGCTGAGAAGGAAGGCACTGTATCAAGAATGATGTAAATAAAGGCACAGTGAATGCCCCAACAGATGTGAGGTCTACTAACGGGAATGGAGGAAACGGGTTCAGATGAGCGGAGCCCCTGCTGGTGGAGGCAGTATTTTCATGTGAAACAGAGAAAGGTGTCCCTTGGCATAGATACCACTGTGAGCGCAGTCACATGCCTTGGCAAATAAAGAGGAATAGTGGAAGTTGCTTATCTGTTGTGTCTTGAGTGCACCATCCTGGTGCAGGATACAGCTTGTATACTAAAGGAGTGGCCATGATTGTAATACCGGATGTGATTAAATTATGGAAAAAGCAAGGTACTTATTTTTTTCAAAAAGGTAAACGTATTTATTAAACACTAAAGATGACAGGCTTGGTCAGATATTTTGCAGAAGAATATATGAAAGTAACTAAATTAGTAGATATTAAGAGAATGTAAATAAAAGTTAGAATGAAAGGAACCCTCAGTTCCAAGACTTCCCAGACACATTGAATAATTGGGGTCCCAACACAATGTCAGTTCAGAGTGTAAAGTGGAAGAGGTATTTTAGAATCATTGAGGCAGCTTTAAGTTAGTGTATGCTGGCCATGGAACACAGTATTTTTAATAAGTTCATGAGTGTATCACAAAAGCATACTGAGTTTTCTACCCCCCAGGCCCCAGATACTAAAGATAAAAGCCAAAATAAGAGCTTTCTGATGCCGTCTGTGGAATATGTACCAGAGGAATGCGAGCAAACAGTTTGAAGTGATTCAAGAGATGCACGAATTATAGATCTTTATTGGGACACTGGTTCTTGGCTGTGTAAAGCAGGGTACTTATAAAGGTTTCATGGAAGGGTATGTCTCAGACCATGGTCTTTGGGGGAAAACTGAGTAGATGCAGAAGAAAAGAAATGCATCTTACAGTGGTGAGAGAATAAAGGTGGACTGGAGATTGCTGAAGAACAGTCTGCTACCTGACTGGGCTGGAAGGGACCATGGGAAAAGCACAGACTTTGAGCAATCGTGTGTCAAAATGCTATAATGGTAAACAATCAGAATAGCAGTCAAGGGAAACTGAGACTTGCTCTTAATTGGAAAACTAAACTTCCCCTCCCTCCCTCCCTCCCTCCCTCCCTCCCTCCCTCCCTCCCTCCCTCCCTCCCTCCCTCCCTCCCTCCCTCTCTCCCCCTTCCTTTTTCCTAACTTTCTTTTTTTCCTTCCTACCCAGCTTCTGTCCTCCTTCCCTTCTCTCTTTCTTCTCTCTCCCCTTCTCCCTCTTCCCTCACCACCTCTCTCTCTGGGTGTTTTGAGACAAGGTCTTTCTCACTATGCTGCCCTGGAACTCACTATGAAGATCAGACTGGCCTCAGACTCACAGAGATCTGCGTGTCTTTGCCTCACAAGTGCGGGGATTAAAGGTGTGAATCACCACATCTGTCCAGTTCTTGGTGACAGCAAAAAATAAAAGGTCACAAGACTCCCTGGTCAAAAAGAAAAGTGCCTTCTCTCTCAGGCACTCCGAGGTAGAAGAAAGAATGTAGGCTATTTTTCAATGTCATGTTTTCCTAGTTTGAATGATTTTCAGTTCCAATTCCTTGAACACAATTCGACAGAGAACATGCCCATGTCCCAATCTGGTTTTCATAAAGTCTAAGAATAACTCTGAATAATGACGCTGAATTAAAGAAAAAGAACATAATGCTGGTCAGCTTCTTGTTTTACACATCCCACAGAAACGATACTTAGCTTTCAATTGATGAAATTCTTATGCTCCCTGAGCTATGTTGGAAACTAAAAAAAAAAAAAAAGCTTCAGAGAATCTTAAAATCATCCAGGTGGTATCACCAATTGAATTTACCAAAGCCCAAATCAATATGGATAAAGGAATGTCATTCAGTTGGAAAAACCTGGAATTCAACCACTTGATTGCTTCCCTGTTTCAGTTAAGTCCCAGCAAATTCTCCTGCAAATCTCGTGCAGTTTGTTGCTGGAATGAACTCGAGGAGAACAAGCAGAAAGAGGTATTTCAAAAGCTGACAGACAGAGCTAACAATGAATTAAAATCCACTCCACGGGCTGGAACTAATACCTTCTTGTTCATTCATTTACTGGTTCCACCTTCATTCATTCACTCACTCATTCATTCATTCATCAAACACTCAGCACTGAGATCTGCTAAATCATTTCAGAACTTTCCCCGTATCATAATGCCCCACTTGGGATCCAGAGTTCCATGTAAGTTCATTAAACAGTCCAGTGAATGCAGCAGAAGAGTAGCCCCATGTTGGGGTGTGGGACCAATCACCACAGTTAACTTTGTTTTTCTGAGAAGCAATTTTTATGACACCATGAAGAGGAATAAAAGCACACATTCTTATTTTCATCTGATATTGAGAAAATGAAGTATAATTACATTAATCAATTTTACTCCTATTGAGCCCAGCACATCAATGATAACACGTTAACATTATGTGAGGAGCTACGTAATTATACATTCTACAAGCATTCTGCCTTCTTTGTGCGCCCACCTCTATCCACGTGATCTATAGACTATGTACAGAAAGTTCTGCAAACAGCTCCAGGGTTTGCCACACTTGATATGATATTGCCATTCTTAGGGAAACACTGAGGCAGTGTGATCTGAATGGCCTACAGGAAAGGTTTCGTTAGAATTTGGTCATTTCTTGGGCAGTTCTTAAATCCACCAGTGTTTGGTGCAATGATGACAAATGTTTGCATAATGCTCTTTAAGCTCTTTTTTAAAACTTTCATCTCAAAGTGTAGGTTCCTTTAGATTCCATCCACAGCTCTGGCAGTTCTGAGAGTTCTTCAGATTTGGAGGATTTTGCATCAACTATGCCCAGAGGGGGGTCTTGGAGACATCTGCGTCCCCCTGCTGCTCCTAGAGCTACTGAGTTCACTACTGTTGCTGCCTGGACTGTCGGGGAATTTACTAACTGCCAGTGAAAAGCTTGAATGGTGGTATCATCCACCCACTTAGAGCTGTCTGGTAAAAAGGAGAAAAATGTGTCTCAGGAAAAGTAGTTGACATGTCTAAAAAAAGAAGAAGGGTTATTATTATTATTTTTCCTGCCCTCATTTTTAGCAGCATATTTTCAAAAGACAATTATCTTGGAAAGCATTTTATTAATATTAATGTTAGTTTAAAATTCGTCACTTTCCTAGGCATTAAGGTTGTGTATTAGCTTAGCTATTTAACATTGTAGCAAGGCATTATTAAATTAAGATAAGGAAACTCAGGCACGAAAAATTAATTGGAATAAAGATATTTTCTTTTTTCTTTATTTTCCTGAGCTCTATAAGAATACACATGTGACCCATCACAGTGTTACATGTTTTCAGTTCCGACCCTTGGGAAGCAGAGGCACAAGAGTCAGGAGTTTAGGGCCAACCTGGGCTACATAGCTAGAGCTGTTCACAAACAAAGAAATCAAACACATGTGTATATAGATATTCCTACATTTAAATTTTCTAGTTATTGTATTTTATTCTTTAAAGTGTTAGGGCCTCTATTTTGAAAAAAAAAAATAGGAATAGCCGTTAAAGTAGGGTAGCCTAAGGAAGTAGTTCCTGCGAGAGACAAGTCACGAGGTTGGTGAGAATTTTTGGACAATGTTAACTGTCTCATCAATGTAAATGTTCCTGACACTCCAGCTGAACACTGTTTTCACAAAGCTCATGATTTCATTGATGTGGCTATGTTGCTGGTCAAATCAGAGCCCTGGAAATACGATAAGCCTACATGTTAAAAGCTTGGTGTAAAACTGGAGACCCTGAATGCATTGCGGGCAGTCCTTCCTAACAGGACACACAGTATATTTTGCTTATTTGAAAAGCACAGTTTCTTCCAAATCAGGACAGGGAACGTCCTAAAACTGTTTGTGAGGAGCAAGCCACCTTCACTGATGCATGTTGGTGTCTTCCACATGCATGCTTGCTGAGAGACTACTGAGGATGTGTCCTCCTT